CCAGCAGCCGGGGGTGCTCCCAAAGCATCCCCCAGCCCGGGCAGCCTTCACAGCACCCAAAAGGACCCCCGTCACCCATGCACACCTGGGGCTTGCTTCTCCATTCTCACCCCTGGCCCTGGGGGAGCCGTGAGCAGCGCCGTGCAAAAGTGGCATCTCCCTGGGGACCAGCCGAAATCCTCGTGCTCCCTACCCGATGTTAGACACCGGTGATGGAATTTGCTCGGCAACCCTCAGCTGATAAGCGGGGAGGGTGGATGGAAAAGCTGGATCTGCCAAGCCCTGAGAACAAAAAGAAGAGCTCCCAAGATGGGCAGGTCTCTGAATTAACCCCCCACCGCCACCTTGGCTTTTAACTGCTCCCCTGGGCTGGCTTTTATCCCTCATGGCCTCCGGCGCTGAGCTCGTACCCACAACCCGGCACTGATTTTAATTGGGGGGGCGGATGGGGGACTGCGTGTGCTTCCTCCCCCCCTTTTTTCCCCCCCTTAGCCCCGGCAGCGGGGTTTTTTCGAGCTGTCAGACGGCCTGAGCATCTGATTAACTCTGACCTACATTCCTTCAAACACCGAAGCCGGCTTTCATAACAGGCCAGCCCCAGCTGCCCCCTCCCCAGGGGGATGACGGGGCCTCGAGAGCCGCCTGCCATTCTCCCTTGGGTCCCCCGTGTCCCCTAAGAGGCTTCCCGAGGCTGGTCACCTCCCTCCCTTGCATGGAGATAGCTCTGAGGGATGAGCACCCTGGGCTGGGCTCCCCGAGGCTCCAGCTGCGGATGCTCATCCCTGGGGGCTGTCCCCACTGCCACCAGTCCTCCCCCATGCCAAATTGAATGGATATTTTTTGCTCGCTCCTAAAACCAGGCAGGGAAACTGAGGCACGTGTCACAAGCATCCTTTCCCACCACCCTCACTGTTTTTTGCCAGAATGGATTGGGACAGAAGGGAACATCCATGTCAGGGGTTAAATCTCCCCTGCGGGGCAGGGTGATGAGACCAATGTCCTTTGTCCCCCCCTTCTTGGGATCCATCTCATGCCTTTCTGGGGGAGAGAAACGGGTCTTTGGGCGTATTTCACGGGAAACCAGCATCATCGGGATGTGCTGGGCTGCAGCTTCTTCAGGACAAGCCCTTAGTGCTGCCCATGATGGATATTTGGGGTACGGGCATCTCCTGCTCCCTCCAGCCCTCACTGTCTGCTCCCTCCCCGCAGGGACAGCACCAAACCGAGCACTAGCTTCAAGAGGGGATCAGCCTCCAACATCGACTACACGGAGCTGCTGCAGCACTTTGAGAAGGTCCAAAACAAGCACTTGGAAGCACGGCACCAGCGAGCCGGGCGGGCAGAGCAGCTGGACCGAAGGGTGGTCCTCTGAGCATCCCCATGGCAGCCGTGGGTGTGCACGGTTGCTGGGGCAGGGACCAGGGGACGTGGACCAGGGGATGGGACACACCGGTGGCTGGCCGCCGAAGGATCTGGTGGGTTTAACGGCAGAGGGAGATGGGCAAGTGCTTGGCATGGGGCTGGTTTTCCTCACTGGTGTGTGTCTGGGTGGTGGTGGGGACCCCCAAGGCTGTGTCCGGCTTCTCCCATGGGCAGTGCGGGGACATGGGGAAGGGTTTCAGGAGGAGAGGGCCAGGGGGAAGCGAGGAAACTCCCCTTCGCTTGGCTAATGCCTTCCCCGTGACTGTCAGCTGAGCACCCAGCCTCCTGCCA